CACTCATCTAACATTAACTCCCTGACAGGAGCCCAACAGAAAATCCATAATGCAAGAGGTGCCTATTTGATGTCCCGGCTCTAAAGGTAGCCTGCTCTCTTACAGGGAGGCTCCACCGCCAGCTGCCTCCACATCCAAACAAGAAAACTGCTTGTGAGAAGCGTTGTTAGATGGGCTCCAAATCCCTCCGGAGCAGGGCCCTCCAACCTTGGCCCCTTTAAGCCTGGCGGACTTCAACTCCCAGAGTTCCCCAGCCAGCTTTGCTTTCTGGGAGTTGAAGCCCTCCAGGCTTAAAGGGGCCATGCGTGGAGACCCCTGCTCTGATCAGGGCAGCTGCTCCCTCTTGCATCTCCCCCGAGCCAGGCGACGAGAACCGCCAACAAAGGAGAGACCGGAGGCGGCCCAGGGATCGCGGCTTTCCGGCCCTGCGAGGGAGGCCAGGAGGTCCCGGTCTACCAAACTTTGCTGCAAGGGAGGCCCGGGCAGGACCCTCCGGACCCCGGTTGCAGCTCCCCACCCTCCTGCTTGGATGCTGTGCGGAGCCCCGGAGGGGTTAACCGGGCGGGGGGGCTGCTTTTCCCGGGGAGCCGCTCATCCGGGGACCCCGAACCGCAGCCTCGCGCAGCTTTCCCGCCCCTCCGCCTGCCTCCATCAAGCCCCGCCCCTCCCGTGGGGGGGGGCGATGGAACGCGAGCGGGCCGAGGGCGCCAAGCCGCGCGCTCGCGCCTCCCCCCCCCCACGCCCGCGCGCCTCTCAGGCCTCTCACCACGTCGATGTGGGCGAAGCCAGTGAGCACCAGGTCCTTGAGGAGCTCGCAGCCGATGCCGCCGGCGCCCACCACCAGCACTCGCGCGGAAGCCACGGCCTGGGCCAGCTCCTCTTGCAGGGCCAAGGCCGCCGCCGTCGCCATCCCAGCACTGAGGAAACGGGCGGGAAAAAAAAAGGGACGGCGAGGGAACTCCAACCGAGGCGCCGCGCATGCGCAGCTCCTCAGGCCGCCTCCGGCGAACCCTCGCCACAGAGCGCACTTTCCCAGAGCGGCCGCTGCTCTGGCTTGCGCGGCTGCCCCTAGCGGCCGGTGGGTGCGGCGCGGACTCCCGGCGCTGGACCGCGTCTCCCTGGCTCTCAGCCACCCCGGCGCCCGGCAACGGCAGAGCGGAGGAAGGGCGCCGTGCTGGAGGGGCCCCTCGGTGCTCCATGCCAACCGGCTGCAGGAGGCTGAGCCCGACCGGCCTCTTCTCCGCTTCCAGCCGGGCTTTGGAAGCCACGGGCGGCATCCGCGGGAGAAGCGCCCCGTCCGATGCCCTGGCAGCTCTGCTTCCCCGAAGGCTGCAAGCCAGGTTCGGCTCTAAGCAGCCGCGTCGCAAGGCTTTCTCCAGCCGTCGCAGCCGCTTCCCTTTGCGGCAGCCGCTCTCGGCCCAGGAGCCACCGGGCACCGACCCGCCGCAGCCAGCCAGGCTGCTGATGCTGGGAACATCTCAACCAATAAATGCTCTGCCCTACATATTGGCAAAAAAAATCAGAAAATAAAATACAGGCTGAATAGTCAAGACCTTGTTGATGATCCAAACTCTGTCAAGGATCTTGGAGTACTCATCTCAAATGACCTAAGTGCTAGAGCCCACTGTAACTACATAGCCAAAAAGACGTTAAGAGTTGCTAACCTAATCTTACGTAGCTTTTTCTCTGGTAATATCACACTTCTAACTAGGGCATACAAAACATTTGCTAGACCAATACTCGAATACAGCTCATCAGTCTGGAACCCACATTACGTATGTGATATTAGCACAGTTGAGAAAGTCCAGAAATATTTCACAAGAAGAGTTCTCTACTCGTTGTAGAATACCTTATGCCACCAGACTTGAAATTCTAGACCTAGAAAACTTTGAATTACACTGTCTTCATTCTGATCTAAGTATGGCATATAAAATCATACATTGCAATGTCCTACCTGTCAATGAATACTTCAGCTTCAACCATAACAACACAAGAGCACACAATAGATACAAACTTAAGGTTAACCGCACCAAACTTGATTGCAGGAAATACGACTTCAGCAACAGAGTGGTCAATGTCTGGAATCCTCTACCTGACTATGTGGTTTCTATCCCAAATCCCCAAAACTTTAACCTTAGACTGTCTACTGTTGACCTCACCCGTTTCCTAAGAGGTCTGTAAGGGGCATGCATAAGCGCACCAATGTCCCTGTCCTATTGGGGTTTTTATTTTTATTTTTCTTATACGTATCCATGTATTCATAACTATGTTTTTACTTATACCTATTATCTTGTAAGCAATGGACAAAAATAAATAAATAAAAAATAAAATAAATATCCCGGCAGGCAGGGGGGGAGGGGCTGGGGAGCAGGGAAGGCAGCTCAGAATGTGGCTGGCTCTTCCATCCGTTTGGGAGGGGGTGCAAAGCAGCAGGACCCCCCCCTTCCGATCCAGCCAGACACCACAGGAGCAGCCAGCACTGCAAAGCGTGGATAAGCTAATATTTGGAATAGACTCTCCTGCTTGAGCAGGGGGTTGGACTGGATGACCTCCAAGGTCCCTTCCAACTCTGTTATTCTGTTATTCTAAGCAGACGTGCTTTTCCCCCCCCCGGTGAAAAATGGAAGCCCTTGGATGTTGGCGAAAGGAGCTCAGTTTTCTGGTGACTTCTCCTCTGGCAATACAAGTACGGAAGCTTTTATCAACGTTTATTATATTCCATGAAGGACTGACTCTAAGCTTGGATTCATACAATACACAATGTTTTATTATACTGTAATCGTGGCTGGCTGAATATGCCACAATAGCTTGAATTTACACAAAACTGCAAACCATGTGTTTTACAAAACACACTGCAAGGTTTCCACTAAAGCGGGGGTCTCCAACCTGAGCCACTTGAAGACTTCCAACTCCCACAATTCCTCAGCTGAGGAATTCTGGGAGTTGAAATCCACAAGTCTTCAAGCGGCCAAGGTTGGGGATCCCTGCACCATGCAATTTAATAACCGTACATCACCTGCCAAAACCACTCGACACAACGGCAGTTTTTTCCCTTCCTGCCCTCACTCTGCTGGGCACCTAATTACCACAGTGCTGTTTTATGTTAAGGATACTTACCATTTAGCGTGGCTGTGTTAGTAGTTCTTCTCATCTTCCTTCTTCCTGCATCTTAGCTAAGCTGTTCTGTGTTTCTGTGGTGGGAATTTGCGAGCGGGGAACAGTTGATTTGGAGCAGAAGAGCAGAGCAGAATAGTGTGGAATCCATGCTAGGCATCTTCACGGCCATTTAACCCCGAGTGTGGAATTTCACAGCCTCAACACCTCTTGGGGGTGTTTCCCAAAATTTCTCAAGGATGCTGGATTGATTGAAGGACTGGTCAGGAGGGGAGGGATGGGGAACCAGAGGAATAGTTGTGCATTGTTGCACAGGAACTTTCAATTCCGCCTGAATTTACTGCAATCAGCATCTCTTAGTAAAAGCACTCTCATGGGTAAAAGGTAAAGGTTCCCCTCGCACATACCTGCTAGTCGTTTCTGGCTCTAGAGAAAGCACTCTTAGTGTCAACCAAATGGAGTTGAAGGTTTTTCTTCCCCAAGGGACCAGACTGAGGCAGGTCTGACACCAACAAGGGAGTAACACCATGCAATTACAGCCTCCGCACAACATGGAAAGTTCTATCAGGCATTATAGCCACTAAGTTACAGGGCATATGGGTCAATATATGAGCACAGCTCAGAAGGGCATTGGAAACAATGCCAAAGGCTCAAAACATCAGTTGCTCATTGATAAAGCAATTGCCCATGAGGCTAGGGCTAGGCACATTGATCTGATAGGATTCAGTGCCACACACATGGGTTTGTGTATGCCTGGCACTATACACAATCAACAGGACTCTGAGAGCCTTCCTCAAGCGTTCATGAAGATCTGGAAGCTCCTCACAATGTAGTGGTTTCCACCCCAACATCCAAAGACTGTACACCAACCAGACAAAGGTCAGTGGGGTGGGGATTGGTGAGTGCCGAAGTTGCTGTCATGGATGAAACCTAGAGCATCCAAGAGGGCATCAGTAAGATGGCACCCAAAGATGGGCTGCTGAGAGGTAGCAGCAGCCGTGGAAGATCCAGCAGAAGATGATCACTTTACTAAACAAATAATTCCCTCAATACTGTCCAACTATTTTCAAAGTCTGCACTACTATTAATCTTCTCATCACTCCTTATCACCCATCCCCTCCCACTTGTGACTGTAGGACTGTAACTTTGTCACTTGTATCCTACGATTTATATTGACTGTTTCCTAGTATGATTTAATTGCTTATTTGTACTCCATGAGTATCATTAAGTGTTGTACCTGATGATTCTCGACTCTTGACGAAGGTATCTTTTGTTTTATGTGCACTGAGAGCATTTGCATCAAAGACAAATTCCTTGTGTATCCAATCACACTTGGCCAATAAAGAATTCTACTCTATTCCATGTGCCATGGCAAAGTATGACCTCATGTGGGATGTACCCTCAATAGCTGCGGTGGAAGATATTGGGAAATTCCAGCAGTGGCAGGAAAGAGTTAGACTGAAAGACAGCACTGATCACAGCAGCACAAGAATAAGCACCGAGTACCTGATCCGTAGAAGGCGGGGTCTACTACTCTAGACAGGCTATGCAGGAAGTAACAGTGTTTATTAATCAAATTTATACCATGTTGCAATCCTATGACTCTTGGTAGGTCATGAGATAGGAATATGATAAGTATCAGTGGTGGGATTCAACATTTCAACTGGTTCTGTGGGTGTGGCTTGGTGGGCATGGCAGGGAAAGGTTACTACAAAATCCCCCTTCCCTCCCCACCCCACTAACCTGCTTTCCAGCTCCGTTCTCCTGGGCAGGGCAACAAAAGAAGACCCAGCCGATCAGCTGGGACTCAGGAGGCAGAGAATAGATGGGGTTGGCAGGGCCAGTCACAGGTGGCATTTGCCGGTTCTCCCAACTACTCCAAATTTCCGCTACCGGTTCTCCAGAACTGGTCAGAACCTGTGAATCCCACCCTCTGATGGGCAGTGGAAGTGGAAAGTGCTGGCTTCCACAATTGAGTTCCAGGGAGCATTGGAAATCTCCCCTTCCCTTCCAACAGATCTGAGCAATACTCAAAATTTCCACTACCGGTTCTCTAGAACTGGTCAGAACCGGCTGAATCCCACCTCTGATACACATGATAATCAAAACCCAGGCCCAACCTAGGATATCAGGTCTCAAAAGCCTGCTGGAGAAGCTTTTTCTGAAAGGCGGGCCAAATGGGAGAGAAGAATGAACCTGTTAAGGTCATTCCAGAAGGGCTGCTCCAACACCAAAAAGGCAATGCCTCCAGGACCACATCCATGACCTCCAGGAAATTGGGGGCAAAATCGCTGCTTCTCCTTGCATCAGAATGGCCAACCCAGCTGTAGTGGGAAGATGCAGAAACCCCGCCCCCAACACAAAAGGCTTTACAGAGTCGTGCATGGGTGCACATCTACACAATATATGCTTCTGAGCCTGGACAATATTAGCCAGGTAGGCCCAGTGGAGGCCAACATTCCTCTTTTTGACAAACTACAGGGCTTCATATATCCGATTCACTCTTCTTGGGTGCCTTCAGTTAGGCAAGGAATGAAAATAGAATCTATTTAAACAATCGCTGGTCTGGATCTTCTTGTACAAAAATAAATTCTTCCAAGGGTGAAGAACAGCCGGCTGTCCAACAACTTTTCTCACATGTGTAGACTATTGCAGTTCCAAATTCTACTGATGTATCTGCCAAGAAAAAAAAGAGAGAGAGCGCCTTTTCAAGGTTATTGCCCTCATCACAAATGCATGTAAAGAGATAATTCACGAAAGTGTTGTCCTTCTAACAAAGAGAGACCATAAAAACACAGGATTAAAGTCAACCCTCACCCACGCAATCAGTAGTCTCTCAAAAGATGTCCCAAATGCTGGCCTCATACCTCCCTCCCCCAACACCTGAGGGAAGACACAAGTCTGAACAGACTTCTGGAAAGCAAGGAGGGACCGAGCCCTGTGTGTTTCAGGGGAGAGGGATAGGCACAATGACAGAAAATGCTCTCTTCCCGGGAGAGCCCTAAAGCAGGGACCTCCAACCGTGGCCACTTTAAGACTTGTGGACTTCAACTCCCAGAGTTCCTCAGCCAGCTTTGCTGGCTGAGGAACTCTGGGAGTTGAAGTCCACAAGTCTTAAAGTGGCCACGGTTGGAGGCCCCTGCCCTAGAGCAAGCCCACCTTAACCAATCTAGTTGGGATGGGTAGGTGTCATCATGGAGAGCTGACAAATGGTCCTGGCCCTGTGCCATGCAGGGCTTTAAAAATGACACCCAACACCTGGGGGGGAAAAACGGGAAGCTGGTGCAACTTGTGCCAGGGCAAGATCCAAGCTGCTCAGGATTGCATCTGCTGCTGCATTTTGGACCACTTGAAATTTCCAGGTGGCTTCATTTGGCAGTAGTTCCAAGGAGAGGGGGGCCCAATATGAGTCTGGAGTCCCAGTCAAGCAATAGACACAACTGGAGCATCACATGAATTCGTGCCAAGGCCCCGTGGGCATGGCTGTCCTCTGTTCCTCCAATGCAGCTATGGGTCCAAGAAGATCCCCCAAATTGTACAGCCCGTCTCTCTGGGGAAATGCCACCTGTCAATAGCAACTCTCCAGGGAAGGGAACTCCAAACGTGACAACTTTTCAGACTTTTAAAACTGCTGAGGTTAAGTTGTGCAGCTGGTTCCCCTCCATCCAGACCACCATAGCCTCCAGACATAGCATAAACATCTGAATGGGATTATGCAGATGTATGCATCTATTCTGAGGAAGGTGTTATGGCCACCTCCACTCCAACACATTCTGGGCAGCTTGCAAAATCTGATGTAAAGTTAAAAGCAAAACACAGCATGACAGCGTGTGCGCGCACACCCACACACGCCCATACAACACACTAACCCCAACTTCTGGGCCCAAACCAGGTTTAAGAACTTTTCTGAACTCTAAGAGATGTGTGCCATCTGTATTTCTGGAATTGTTGTTCCAGTGGTTCAGGGCAAGACGAAGAGGATAAAAAGCAGCACCCAAACGCCCATGCAGTTTAATTTAAGAGAAGCTTGGAGTCCAATATATTCAGATCCACAAAGATGAACTTGTGAGAACAGGGAGGGCCTCGGCTTTCTTCCAAAGAGGCATTAAGCCACCATCTGGACCAAACCAGGTGCCACCTCCTAAGAAGCCATGACCACCCAGGAGGACATGGGGCCAGACCAGTGGTGGTATTCTACCGGCTCCGCCCCGTTCTGCCAACCTTTATCTTCTTTTTTTGAAGCGCAGCTGCTTTGCGCGGCACACAAGAGTGCTATGCGGCAGCTGCTGAAGCAACCAGGAGAGTGCAGGCTTGCAGGAGGTGAGTCGGAATGTCTCTGTGCCTGCGGAAAGTGCGTGTTTGGCGCGTGTGTGCATGCAAAGTGCGTGCACACACACAAAGCATGCCCACCAAGCCACGCCCACTGAACCGGTGGTAAAAGTGTTTGAATCCCACCCCTGGTCCAGATCACAGCGGGGCCAGCTGCAAGGACCCTCAACCACATTTTCAGAACCAACCAACTGACTCTCTACCAGATAACTGAGCAAAGTCCTGCCTCAGTCACTTCCGTGCGATCATCCGCTTAAAGCAAATCCAAACAACTGTATCTAAAAGAGGCTAAGCATGTTCTTCACCAGTGCAGGAGCTTCCCCTGGTCCTTCCTGCCTTTTATGTTTGCAAGAAGTCTGAAAGGTCTGGGAAAGAAGCCCAGATACCGATACTTAAGAGATATGTGTGATATGACGGCACCTTCTGAATTCCAAGGATTTGGAGGTTAAGCCTCCCTGGGACTTATTGCCCACAAGCTGTTAGCATCTCAAGGATCATCTAGTCTGGCAGACTGGGGAAAAAAATAATTTATTGTAATAGAAATCTGCAGAAGTAATAGAACAGCCAAACCAGATTGACAGGACCTTTGCAAACAGAAGCAGTATATAGGCAGAAATCAGCAGAACAGCCATCCCTTCTGAAGTAGAGCCTCCAGTTTTCTACCCAGCCCCTCTTCCCTATTTACACCACAGAAAGGTAACACCCCCCCCCCCAAAAAAAATAACTAATTGCCATCTTAATTCAGGCTGCCTACCATTTTCTCTGGTCTTCAGCATGTTGACTAGGGTTGGCATCAGCTGGAATTCAAAGATTCTCTTGCTTTTGCAGTTGTTACAGGGTGGGATTCTTGTCTGGAAGTCTGCAGGTGGGGGGGTAATAAATAAAGGTTGGCCATTCCAGGAGTATCTAAGAGGCAAAAGGTTCCAAACTTATTATTACGCCAAGCTTCCATTTAGGGAAAAAGCTAGGCAGCTAACACAAAAAATACACAGTAAGAATACTTACGATAGCAGTAGCGATAGCGATATAGCAGTGGCACTTAAGATTTATATACCGCTCGCTCCATAGTGCTTTACAGCACTCTCTGAGCACTTTTTAAATGTCAGCGTATTTTCCCCAACAATCTGAATCCTCATTTCATCGACCTCGGAAGGATGGAAGGCTGAGTCAACCTTGAACTGGTCAGGATCGAACTCCTGGCAGTGAGCAAAGTCAGCCTGCAATACTGCATTCTAACCACTGTGCCACCATGGCAGTAGAGTAGAACAGAATTAGAATAAAATAAGAATAGAATAGACATGGACATGGACATGGACATAGAACCGCTCCATAGTGCTTTCCAGCCCTCTCTAAGCAGTTTACAGAATCAGCCTCCTGCCCCCAACAATCTGGGTCCTCATTTTACCCACCTTGGAAGGACAGAAGGCTGCGTCCACCTTGAGCCCAATCAGGATTGAACCCCAGGCTGTGTTTAGAGGTTGCCTGCAACACTGCACTCTAACCACTGTGCCACCATGGCCCTTCTGGACCTCCTCCAATCCCAAAACACCCAGGCCTATCTTTTCAGATGGTTGGTTTAATAATACAGGTAGTCCTCAACTTACAACAGTTCATTTAGTGACCGTTCAAAAGTCACTGATAAAGGTGACTTAGGGCCTTTTTTTCATACTTGCAATTCTCGCAGCATCCCTGTGGTCACGTGATCAAAATTCAGACGCTTGGCAACTGACTCGTATTTATGACAGTTGAAGTGTCCCATGATCAACTGATCTCCTTTTGCGACCTTCTGACAAGCAAAGTCAGTGGGGAAGCCGGATTAACAACCGTGTTACCAACTTAACATCTGCAGTGATTCATTTAACAACGGTAGCAAGAAAGGTCATAAAATGGGGCCAAACTCCCTTAACCAATGTCTCACTTAACAACATAAATTTTGGGTTCAGTTGTGGTCGTAAGTTGAGGACTACTTGCATTCCACTGTCATTGTATTTCATGGCCTATTATATAATGTATAGTATATTATAAAACAACAACACACACAGTGTAGTATTGCAGCACAATTGTATGAACCAAAGGAGATCAACTGAGAATATTTTTTGCTGCAGAAACTGCCAAATGTTTGGCTTATATTTGGAATACCTGATCTTGATTTATTGTTACAAGGACTTTCAGCTATACATAGAGAAAATATTTTGCTTCAGATTGATACAACAGTGGTGGGACTTATCTCTGGGGAGGATGAGTCTGCCTACCGAGGTGAGGTGGTCCGCTTGCTTTTGTGGTGTGGAAACAATAACTTGGTCCTCAACACCAATAAAATCAAGGAGCTTATAGTGGATTACAGAAGGAACAGATCAGACATCCACCCCTTGGCTTATCAGTGGAGACCGAGGGGAGCAAGTGGCTAGTTTTAAGTTTCTGGGTGTTACCCTAAAAGAGAACCTGACCTGGGGGGCCCCCATTGCAGCCCTGGTCAAAAGGGCCCAGCAGAGATTATACGACCTGAGGCTTCTCAGAAAACAACTGAATGAAAAACTGCTGGTGACCTTCTCCCGCTGCACCATAGAGAGTATCTTAACTTACTGCACCTCTGTATGGTTTGCCAATTGCACAGGGGCAGGTAGGACAGCGCTCCAGAGGGATAACGCCATTGACCAGAGGATCATGGGTTGTCCCCTCCCCCCTTTTTGGAAGAGCTTTATAGCTCCCGTTGCCTTAAGAAAGTTCAAAACTTTCTCAAAGATCCATCTCATCCTGGGAACCCTTTTTTTGAACTATTACCATCTGGCAGACGGTACAGGACAATAAAAACAAGGACAAATAGGCTGAAAAACAGCTTCTATCCCAGGGCAGCAACTCTTTTGAATTTTACTATGTAGTGCAGGGTTGGTGCTGGTCGGGGGTTTCCAGTTCAATGTGCGGAGTGTGAAGGATGTGTGTTCGTATTTATTTTCATGGTCATGATGTGCACTGAAGACGGTGTTTGATTTCATTGTACGAGGTGCAATGACAATAAAGTAAACTAAGTCCACCTTTTAGTTTAGTTCAGTTCATTGGAGCCAACGGTTGGGATATTTACTTAAGAAGGGGAACAGCCCTATGGCGCCTCCCAATTCAGTGGGGAACCTGCTCAGAAAGGACAGCATCAAAATTCAATGCCACAATGCCAACGGGCAGCAACTGCTTTTGTTCATACTTTACAACAGGGATCCCCAACCTTTTCGACGCCGCGGCCCGGTTCCGACATCAGCTGGGCGCCGCGGCCCGGTACCGGCGTCAACTGGGCGCCGCCATCTTTTTATGACGAAAAGGCGCTTCCGGTGAGCTTTCTACCCGGAAAAGCTCACCAGAAGCGCTTTTTTACCAAAAAAAAGATGGCGGCGCCCAGCAACCAGCGGCCCGGTAAGGCTTGTTCCGCGGCCCGGTACCGGTCCGCGGACCGGCGGTTGGGGACCCCTGCTTTACAATGTTTACAGCAGGCACATAAAACACTTTGCCAGCTGAATGCCGCCGTTTGCCTCAGATCCTCCCCTTCCATTGCTAAAACGAAGCCATATAACCCTCTTCCCTACCTTCCAGGAACATCATTACACTATCAGCGGCCCGCCTTGGGGGAATGCTGTGGGAGATAAGGGAGTATGGACACCAACAGGAACCAGAGGTGTCAAACCGAGTATCTTCCTGGGAAAGGAATTTACAACCCTGCCAGAGGCACCTGGTTTCCAAAACATTGGAATCGATACCTGATTGGACTGCTGCCAAAGGGGGGAGGATTTGGGACATGGGGATTGCTACCAATATGTGATTTTCACCTGGATTGGAGGAAATAAAAGGACTGTGCGATGGGGGGGGGTATTTATGCCGTGGGAACCTATTATATTAGCGTTGCTACTTCTGTATCCATATCAGTTCAGTAAAATATACTCTTGGAGAATGACACTGGCCCAAGAGTATTTGAACTGCGTGGGACGGTTGACAGCAGGGCTCGAAAATATTCTAAATTCTAGCTTACTTCCAAACACAATCTGCCCTTTTAATACACAGAAGCTAAATAAATGGGCCTCACCTACCTTAAGATCTGTTCCTGGCAGGAGGAAATTCTTTTCATGAATTTGTAGAATATCTGGTTTCTCTTTTCAGCTTCACTCTTCTCATACTTCTCACCAGAGGCATCAGGGGTGTAACTAAGCATAGGGGAGACACTGATAGTACAGCCATCACAATATTACTGCATTAGTAACAAACTGTTTTCTACTAAACAGAGGAAGTGAAAACTTGGGACTGGGATATCCACAGGATGTGGTTAAGAGCCATGACATCAGGGTTGAAGCTCTGCCTGGTTTATCACACCTGGAGGAAGATCTATCTATAGTAATTTTATGCTGTTGACTTTATGACTCATCCTGATCATTTTTACTGAAGGGAATAGTAATAATAAATAAAGAAATGTAACAGAATATATTATAGCATTAAGTAGAAAGTTACTTTATAGGCATTTGTTCTCTTGTATATGTAGAAGTATTTCTGTTAATGTTCTGACCCAAGCCTCGTTCAAAGCAAACAAATACCAAACAGAGATAAAAGCAAAACCTCTTTAATGCTTCTCTGTGAATTCCGTTCATTCATAGTAAAACGCTATTAAAAACTAATTGTCCCAGATAAGAACAAGCCTGGTCAAGGCTGCCAAGAACACTACATTAAATTGCAAGGAAATAATCAAAACCAAAAGTCTCCAAACACAAACCAAACTTCCACAAGACTTGAAGTGCAATAACCTCTTTGCTTCCTGCAAAGAATCCCACCTCTGAGGGCTGGCTTTTATCTCTTAAGGGAGGGACCATCACCCTGCAGCCTTACTCCCGTGCTGCTGCAGCTGCTCTTTCCTTCGAGCAGCCCTGCGCACACGCCCACTGGGCACAGGCTCCTCGGGGACCTCTTCATCATTGCTGCCATCCTCCACAATCTCCGAAGGCAGCGCTCCACTCCCTGATGGTCCTGGCCCCATCCCTGCATCACATGCAGGCCCCTCATCCGAGTCCTTGCTCTCCGAGACCTCAGCCATAACCGTAACAGTTAAGCATTTACCACTCTGTACACATTTGTTATCTTGCTGTTGTAAAAAAAGATTTCCTTAACCATTCACTTGTTGTAAAACAATTATAAACACATGCCTGCAATCAGTTATATCCTTCTCCTATTAAGGCATATAGTTCTCCCATCTAAATCAATCTGAATCCATCAGTTTTCCTGGATTGACACATCTCACCCCGCATCCTCTGGGAATGTAGTGTATCCCAAGCCTCCCAGAGTAATCCATACCTTTGAAGTATGCTGTTAATAGCCTCCTCAAGTGGTCAGTTGTGATCAGTTAGGAAGACAATAGGAGAAGAGATAACGAAAGGTAAAAGTTGCCAGAAAAAGAGCTGTCTTTTGCAGGAAGATGTAAATCTAAGTTAGAGAGTTTTACAATGCAGTTAAAGTATATGACTTTCATTGTTTCACATGCTTTGTAGGCTTCCTCTCATGTCTATCTTGTGTATATGTCTGGATTAGTTTTACCCTAACTTTGCTTGACCAAATTAAAGTTTGATTTTGTTCTTCAAAGCCTCTGCTTAAGTTCATTTTTGGCACATTGTGATCTAAAGTTATAGCAAGACTTTACATTACATTTGTACTTTTATTACCTGAGTGGTTTGTACTTTTGTGAGCTGCTTTGAAGCCTACAATAGAAAACTATAAATATTCAAATAGCAAGTCTCTTGAGTATACTCCATTCTATGACGTACATTCTCCATATCTGCAGACCTGGCTGTTGCTTGGCACCACTCTAGGACCTTCGCAACCCAGAGAAAACTTTCAGGTTCACCTTGGCTCAAGCCTCACCTTGCTGACATCCAATGCTCCAAATCCACACCCTCCCTCTGCTGATACTCCTTTAGGAGCCTCTGGGCATCATCCAGGTGGTCCCAACAGAGGTAGTCTTCTTCATCCACTACACTGATGTAGTAGGGCTGGAACTCAGGGCCGCGGCTGGAGGGCTTGATCTGCTCTTCCCGAGTCAGATCACAAAGGGCCCCGGGGTTTCCCCCCAGGCTCATCCTCTGCAACAGAGCCGCACACTGTGTTTCTCTGGGGATAGAGCTGGAAGTCCCACACAGCTCAGAAGGTGCCTCTTCACAGTCCTCTCCCCAGTCCTCTGCTCCACTGCACCAGTCCGTGGCTGCTTGGGTCCATTCTTGCTCCTATCAAACCAAGGGATACAGAAGTGACTTATGCAGAGCCCGATCCAAGCAGCTATAAAAGCAGTTGCTTCAATCCATCCAGCTGGAGACTTTTCCAGACCTTGAGGAGTCAGGATATGTTTATATTCTTTTTTTTTAATGCCAATATGAGTCATGTTTGAGATGGGCAGCTATATAACTTAACTAATATATAAATCTGGCTGGGGCCTTCTGCCTGCAGAACTGTTGTGGTTCGCCGGCAGCTGGTGCAGACAGCAGCAGAATCGGACTGTGGGGAAGAATGGGGACCAGTCCGGGAGTCTGGAGAGGACTCGAACGAGGTTCCTGCATTCGATGAAGAGATGGGACCAGGGCCACCTGGGAATGGGGTGCTGCCTTCGGAGGCTCCAGAGTCTGGCAGCAGCGAGGCAGAGGAACAAGGGGAGTCTGTTTGCACTGCGCGTGTGTGCCGTGCGCAGAACTCCTAGAAGGCAAGAGCAGCTGAAGCAGAAGGGGCGATTCGGGAGTAAGGCTTGGAGGTGATTGCCCCTCCCCTAAGATATAAAGGAAGTGCAAAGGTAGGGAAACCTTTGCTGGAGGCAAAGTCGTTAGCTCTGTTCAGATTCATCCTTGAAGCTCTGTGTGGACTTTGTACTTCGGTTGGTTTTTTAGTTCATTTGGCACTTTAGTTGTTGGCAGCACTTCAAAGGAGAGAAAGGTGGGTGCTTATCTTGAGGGACTGTTTGGGACTCATTACAGGCTGGGAATGAACATAATTCCCAGCGTTGAAATAAAACAAGAGTTCTTTGGGCTAAGTGTGTGCTTAATTACGGTCTTGGGAAGCCTTGGTCAGAATAAGAACAGAGCTGTACCTTTGAGCTCTTTACGCTTCTTTCAGGGGACACAGTGAAGGTTTTGAACAGCTGAAAACATCTTTGAAATTGAACACGTGGCTATAGAAAAATCAATTTAAAATGATCAAGGAGAATATTTGTAGCTTGGGGTTGAAATGAGGGGTACTTAGTGCTCTCTGAACTTTTCTTGCAAGTGTTTTATTACCTGAACTAGGTAACATCATCAGTGCTAGTAAGGAATGGGATCTGCTCTTAATTTATATTCTAGCAGCTTGTCCCATCAGGGTTGGTGGAAGTTTCTTGGTCTTCGGAGTTTCTTTGGTTGGGCTGTTTACTGTTAGCTGGTTTGGTAGTTCTTTGATTGGGATGCTGTTTACTTCTTGATCATTGGTCTGATGTTAATCTTTGCATTGATCATGGCTCATCTGATTGTCGATTGCTGATAGGAAGGTGGTTTGATCTTTTTGTTTCCTTTTTAGCTTGTGGTTTGCCTCTTTTGCATAGCATGTGGCTTATGTGTTTATTAGTGGCCAATTTGTCAAGATGCCAGGCTTCCTGGAATTCGGTAGCATTTTTGGATTTGGCTTGGTTTAGGATTGGTGACAGCTGTCCAGTTGAAACTATGGTTAGTCTGCCCATAATTAAACAGTTTTCATCATGTCATCTGACTTCTCCTTGGCGTTCATGGCTTGATGTTCTGACCATTGGTGTTCTGACCAATTGGCCATCAATAGGCACATAGACATAAACATCTACATACTAGGCAAAAGAGACAATCAACAAGCCAAAGAGGAACAAAAAGACCAAAAGAAGTTTCCTAACAGCAATCAACCCCCAGATGAGCCAAGATTAATGCCAAGATTAACATCAGACCAACCAGCAATCAAGAAATGAACAATACCCCAAACAAGAAACTGCCAAACAAGCTAACAGGAAACAGTCCAGCCAAAGAAACCTCCAAGACCATCAGTGCTAACAAAGCAAGCCACCAGAAAATAAAAGCAAAAGCCACTCTCTACTAGCACTGAGGATGTTACCTAGTTTGGATATGAAACATCTTTAAGAAAACCAGCAAGCTGAGTGTGTGTGAAAGACCCCTCAAATTTAACTGTATTTTGGAGAGAAACTCTGATAGATTGTCTAGGCCAATTTCAGCTAAATTTCAGGCTGGGGTTTAGTTTTGAGGCAGCCTTCGTTCCTCTTGTCAATGTGGTAGAGCTGGGATGGCAAGAGGTTGGATGAAGGACATCCTCCAAGAGTGAAATATGCCAATCCCAACTGGAGCAGGTACCACATTAAAAAAGAAACTTGAACAAAAATAAATTAGGCATTTTTTTTTTAACAATCTGAACATTGTTCAACCTATTATAACCTAACCAACACATAGTAGAACGCTTCTGGTTCACAGAGAATGTTTGCCTATCCTTGCACCCAGACTGGGAAGTTGATGTAAAAAGGCATGTTAGTCTTCCCATTAATATTCCATATAACTTGTTGCTGTTGTTAGTCGCGAAGTCGTGTCCGACCCATCGCGACCCCATGGACAACATTCCTCCAGGCCTTCTTGTCCTCTACCATTCCCAGGTCCATTTAAGCTCATGCCAATTGCCTCCATATAACTATACTGAGCTATATACAGTAGCTAGATTGAGACAAGGTGCACAGATATAATAAATATATTCTGGTGAAGAATACACATATTATCTTGTAGCATGTTGCAAGCTACCCTTGTGTTTCAACAGACTAATGCATATAATGCTATCTCTCCCTATGTTTCACTGACACTTAGGTACTAGATACAAGCTACTAGGTCAATAGCCATGAAATGCCCCAATTCTAACGTGAATTTCTTAATCAATAGTTAAGCAAAGGCTTGTACTTCTACATTAGAAGTTCCTCCACAGTTAGAAAGCTGACCCGGTCCACATGCAACTGATTACAGAATATATTCTCTGCAGCTCACAATACCTGCTTCCATGTGCAGCCTTGTATTTCGTTTCTTGGGACTTGCAAATACTGGGATCGTAACACCTTCCAGCTTTAAAAACATAGTACAGACAATAGCAAGAGACACAAATTAATTAATGCTAACAAAATTACATCCCAGTAATTTTACTAGATTTGACAGCTTAAGGGAAAAAGGTAACCTGCATAAATCAAGAAATTTCTAATTTGTATTCCTTTTCTGCCATGTTCTCATTGGGTGAACTAATGCAGGATGCCACCTGATTTTAAAACAGGCCACTAGTCTATTTTGCTTTGCACAGTATTCATGCAATATACGGTTTGCTTTATTACAACAGATTACCTCAACAGAGTAAAAAATAAACTATGGGTTATAAATCACAGTGGCTGGCTTCACACAGCATACTAAGCCAGGGGTCCCCAACCACCGGTCCACGGACCGGTACGTGGAGCACTCTGTACCGGGCCGCAAAGAAAAAAAAATTTAAAAAATGGCGGCTTTCTTCGCCTTCGGTGAATGCTGTTGGGATCAAGGATCAAGGACACAAATGAAAGAAGGGGCGGGAGGAAGCAACCAAAGCCTGTCCTGCTCTCCGGCTCAGCGGCTTCGGTTTCCTCCCGCCTCGTTCCTCTCTCAGTCGCTCTCTCGCTCCTCCACCAGCCCAGGAAGAAACTGCTTCAAAGAAGCCAGGGGGGGGTGTGTGTGTGGCTTTTCCTGTCGCCGCAGCTCCTCCGAAGTGCCCGTTCACCCCCACCCCGCCCGCCCGCGGTTCAATCCAGTGCTCCGTTCTGCCTGCCTGCCTGCGTTTCTGGTTGTTTCGGAGCAGCTTCGGCTGATAAAAAGAGGCGAATAGTTATTATTCTCAGCCGAAGCTGCTCTGAATCAACCAGAAACGAAGGCAGGCAGGCAGGCAGAATGGAGCACTGGATTGAACCGCGGGCGGGCGGGGGTGAACGGGCGCTACGGAGGAGCTGCGGCGACAGGAAAAGCCACCCCCACCCCGGCTTCTTTGAAGCAGTTTCTTCCTGGGCTGGATGTTAGAGGTCCATCGTAGCTCTGAATGATCCCTAAACAAGGACTACAGGAGCTTCCTAGGGAAAACACACTGACAAAATGCTCCTCATTCAATTCCTGTTTTCACCAAACAGAGATAAGAGAAACATCTGCATGAAATTTTGTAGCTACACAGCTGGGCAAGACCTAGAACTAGAGAGACTGCAGTCAGGTGTCTTTAATGCTAGTTGTAGGGTAAACATAAAGTTTTGGGAATGGAAAATAGAATCCCCCCCCCCCCCCCCCCGCCGGTCCTTGAAAAAGTGTTTCTGCTTGAAACTGGTCCCTGGTACAAAAAAGGTTGGGGACCACTGTACTAAGCCATACAAGGAGTCCTTGCTTGATGATGGCAATTTCCATTGTAAATCAAATCCTGTAACTTCAGCACTTAGCAATTGCAATTCCCAGTCTCACTTGCCATTGTTAAATGAGGATGGTGGATTGTTAAGCAAGGACCTCACATGGCCACATGACTTGCAACTTCCACAAGCAAAATCAATGGAGAAGCCAGCAGGAAACATCAAGTCCCAGTCGGCTCACATCAAGTCCCAGTTGGCAGGTGGGTGTTACGGGATGTGGGTAGGTAAGGGTGTTGACCAACCTTGGGCAGGCAAATGTATGATAGGGAGTGAAGGCAGGGGGATGTTGGGTAGCAGGCTCATCGGGAGAAAAAGCAGTGGGAGTGGCTTATGGGAGTGATTTGTGACCTTTCCTGCCTGTTTCCCCATTGACTTTGCTTGTGGGGAAGGCTGCAAATTGTGATCATGTGACTGTCTTAAGTGTGACAGCTGGGACTTCAAGGACCAGTTGCACACAGCAATTGTTCAACAGTATCACAACTTCAAACAGTTGCTGAACCTGTAAACTATGTTTATGATTTGCTGGGGTCCCTGAACCAAATCACAGCTCTGGAATATTCTTTACCATTTGAGGTCTTTGGCATGAAAGGAAAGTGCTCATCCATAACTGTCTTGCAAACTCTTGCAATAGGAAGGGCCTACATCTGGAGATTGCAGAAAATATTAAGAACTTTACAGAGTGAAGTATTACATTGATGGGCCATCTGCTAAAATAAAGCCAGGTCATGGCACATACTTCAAATTAAATCAGGAAGCCTGTAATTGTGGAGTCTGCCTGGCAAGAACAAAGAATGCTTATCCACAGGAGGATATGCGTGTGTAAATCTTGTAACAATCCTGGCTAATTGGAAAGCTGATAAAAGTAACACGTTAGCCAACTTGCAGACCTCAGATAAAAGTTAGGCCTGCAGCAAATCAAATGTGTATTAGATAACTCCTAGAGCATTCATTAGCCAAGATTTGGGAATAGGGACAAGCTAGAGACCAATAGAACAAATTGTAGAATTATTACTAAAATGTTTATTGGATGATATTTCTTATTATCTCACTTTGTCTCACCTTCTCCTTTAGTGAAAATGTATAAAACTTACTCAAGCCTTTGTTCTTGGCTCTTGGTATTTTGACCAGGAGCCCCTTTTCCTTGGAGGACTCCAGTAAAAAGCAATCAGAAAACCTGCACCTCGTGTCTGGTGTCTATCATTGGCTTTGGCACCAGGCTCAGACCCGAATTGGGGACAACATTGCATGACGACTTAGATTACCTACACAAATTTCACATAAACACAAGAAGTTCTGCCTGAGATAAAACCCAAACCACCTTTCAGAATTCCCCCAGCAGCTTTCTGTGGCACAAGCAAAAACGTTGATGACCCGGTGGTACTGTGAGCCTTCAAGGGGGCAATAGATTTGCACCACGTGGAGCAAGCCAGCCCTGCAAACCTCACAGGAGGGATGGATCCCAGGGACGGAGAGCTTCCAATCCTAGGAGAAAAAGGAAAGAACCTGCCACTGTTCAACCTTCAATAAAGGATCTTTTCTTTTTTTTCCCTCTCCTTCCTTCCTCACCAAGCAGCGCCACAAAAAGCCCCCAGGTGTGCTGGTTAGGCCGCCCTCTAACCAGCTGGTCTAATGCCTGCAGACACCCTGCAAAGGAAGCGGCTCCCAGCTACCCCTTCGCCCCCAACTGCCCAGCGGCATAAAGCTGGCCAGCTCAATTTCGGCCGAGGGTTTCCAACCCCCGGAGGACCCCCGGCTACCCAACCCGGCGCCTCCTCCTCGCGCTCCGAGAAAAAGCCGGGACCAGCCCGGCGTCCCGTTGCACCCCGCCTCCCTATCGCCAGCACCGCGGGGCAAGCGCAGCACGGAAGGCAGAGGCTCGAGGCCCTCCCGTTTCTTCCACAGTCCCGAGGTTTCAGGCGGGGACCCTGGCTCGGCCGAGCCCATCAAGCCCGGGCTCTCTCTATCTGCCCCACCCAGACCGCCCGGAGGAGGAAGCGTCGGCGTCCAGCGGAACGGCTCCGGGTCCCCAAAACCCACCGGAGACCCGCCCAGCTTGCTGGCGGCGCCCTGCGACGGGAGGCCATTGCCCGGCGGGACGGCGGCGTCGCGCAGCCCCAAAAGCACCCGAGGCGAAGCCGTCGCCATGGCGCCTCGGGCCACCCACGTGGCGGAAGGAGCGGCAAAGACCGGAAGTGCGGAGCCTCCCCTTCTCCCGCCCCTCGAAGACGGCAGGCGAGGACGGCCAAATGTGGGCGCGCGAAGCTGTCCCTTTCCAGCTGGACGCCGGCCTGCTGCTGCTGCTGCTGCTCCGGCGGCTCTCAGGGGACGGAAGGGAAGCCGCTTGGGCCGCCTGCCGGGAACGGGGAATCAGGAAAGATGCGGGACGTGCGCAGGGCTGCTTCCCGGCGGGGGCGGCCGGGGCCCGGCTTGCCGCAGATGTAAACGCTGCAGCGGGCGGGCGCCATGTCTCCTCCAGCGCCCTTCACCTTCCTGTCCGGCTGCGGCTACGGGGATTCCGCCTCCGTCGTTGCAAAAGACAAGCGGGAGAAGGGGAGCGCTGATCGTGGAGCAGCTCCTGGGGCGGCCCAGCCCCCCTTCCCCGCAGGCAAAGCCAGGAATAACCAAATAATAATTTGCTTGTTTTGTCTAATTTCAGGCAGGCAAAGGTTCAAGAATTTCAGAGAGGCTCAGCCAGCCTCGTTGTACACGTTGCACTCTGACAATAAAGGTTGATTTGATTTGAAGATGCAGGTTTAAATCCTGTCCCATGCTGATGTTAGAGTCCCCCCCCCCCACGCCCAAGCATTGGCAATGGGACACGATCTGCCTCCCTACAATGTAAGGATGCCACCCAATCGTTGGTTATGCGGCCCACAATGCTCTTTAAAATACATGTGTGCAAAAATGGTGCCCGTGGGATAGGTTTTCAAAAGCATTGATTGGAAATCTTGGGTTTCCTACACATCAAGTGTCTTTATTCCCCCCTGCCTTTTTTGTTGCTTCCTTGGGGTTTAGATCAGGGCTCTCCAACCTTGGCAACTTTAAGACTTATGGACTTCAACTCCCAGAATTCCTCAGCCAGCTTTGTCTTAAAGTTCAGGAATTCTGGAAGTTAAACTCCACAAGTCTTAAAGTTGCCAAGGTTGGAGAGCCCTGGTTTTGATGATCCTAAAACAGCAAACCTATTCTCTTGTTATTTTGATATTGAATGGTAATAGAAGAATGTATTACATTAAGATGTAATATAAGAAAATGATCAAAAATTTAACATTTAGCCAGGTTAAAATTATTACTATGCATGTTTTCATCCAAAGCTGTGAGGCTGCAGGTTTAATTGATAAACTTTAACGTGTCCAAATTGTGGTCTTAAAACAAGCGAGCCAAAAGAAGTGGCCCAGATATCTAATGTCTGAAATAAGATTGAGCTGTAAAGAAATTTCACAGAGATTACTTTTCTTATTGAATGGTTTTATTCTGTCTTAAAATAAGAAGGCCCACTTTTCTGTAGCAAGATACACTGAAGGGACGTCATGCTGCTTGTTGTTCACTGGGGTACAGTACACCCCAATTAGTGAACTCAAATAAGTGATGGGTAAATTGAAACCAAATCATACCTTCATAATGTCTCATTGGTATTTACAATTTATCTGGTTTAAATAAGTTTGGGACACCTTATACAGTATACATAGTTATTGCAACAACACAGCACTTGCCTTTTGTCTAAAAAGCCCCCTCCAAACGGTTAAGTATCATGATTTGTGGATTCCAAAAAAGCTTTAACATGCAGAATATTACTAAACAATAGTATCTAATTCTACACTTGTCAAATACTTGACCTCATGTGGAAATGAATTACAAAATACTTCTTTATAGTGCTATACAAAAAATATAAAATTACGATTCTATCACTTTAATATTCCCATTTGCTAACAGTGCATTTATCCACATTTCATCACTACTGAACACGAAGGAAAATGAACAAAAATTCAGCAAATTAGATAAAATATTTTAATCTTTGGATCCCTTTATTCTTGCGGCTTTCAGATATACATAAAAATACAAATTATTAAAGATCTGTATCTAATTATAACTTAATAGCAAAAGAAGTCATAACTAGTTATTCAGAATTAACCTCAGTTACTCCAAGCAAAAGCACTCTAGTGACACTGGGGTAAAAATGAACAGTCAATGTCTCCAAGTTACAGTCCATCAAAACTCTGGCAATCGCAGACACTAAGAAATCATTCTTAATTGAGTATAATACAAAATCACATTTTAAGAATCGACACACAGAGACATTTCATTTTTATTCCAGGCACATCAACTGGAACAAGAAGTCACAACTGGCTCTTTTTTCACTTACTACCATAACGTGACCTGCAAACTGCATAAAATGTTAAGATTTATCTTTACCTAAATAGTCCCTTAGTGTGGTCCAATCGTACAGCAAGACCAAAAACTAGAAAATGGATTTCTTGCAAGAGAAATATTTTAATCCTTCTGAATAATGGAAGAACATTTCAAATATTTATTGGTAGTCAAAATATAAAAACAAACAAATTTAAAGCTGAAAAGCTAGAAAGAAACCCTCCAAACATGTGTTTAGCATTTCAACACGGCAGTTTTGTAGACTTAAAAATGTTTATTCTTAAAAAATTAGTTGCTTTTTATACAGCTATACAAAATCCCTAGTGTTTCTTTGGCAATGGGATAATCATGGAATTATACAACTATAAAAGCTTCCTTTGCCTAAGAAACAGCATTTTCCATGTTTATACTTTCTTTAACCAATTTTTTTTTACTGCCCAGCATCCTATTTGACAAAAATTACAACTATCTGAAAAGAGAGATTATAGGATTTCAAATACAACCTTCACTGGATCAACACACTCACAGTACTGACGGCCTTCTGCATACAATTGTCTTTATAGCCTGCAGCAATTATAAAATACAATTTTAATTCAGAAAAACCCTTTTTGTAATGAAAAAAAATACTAAAACTCCACTGAAGTACTGCTTTATACTTTTAACTATATGTAAGAAATTATTTAAGTTTTCTATCTCAAATATATTTAATATTCTTGTTTTTGAAGATGGCCATATTTTTTAAAAAAGTTACTGCTCCTTTGAAATTAAAAACAAACGCTAGTGCTGGTGAAGTTTTAACAGCAAATGAACATAATTCTTTATAAAAACCAACACCACCTCGGTACCATGAAGATCAGCAAGTCCACCTGCTTTCAAATTCTTTGTAGATTATGCTGCAACTTTGTTGTCTTTCTAAAAAGCAATATAAGATTAACATTACTTTGGGTCAAGCTGGCATAAAGTCAATTTGATCAAGATCATAAACATTTTGAAAGATGGGCAGCCATACAAATTTTCAAAATAAATAGTAAACTTGTCATCAAATTTTCAAAATAAATGAGTTTCATTACATCTACTATGCCCTGCCAGCTATGCATTATATAGCATAAATGCTCCTACAATAATAACTACTGTACATCAAAATATGAATGGAATAGAGTAATTTATGCTCTTAGGAAAAATTAAGCCATGCCTCTTACTTTAGCGCCTATGTTTGGTCTGTGAAAAGTCCCAATTCATTGCCTGGTAGAGATGAAAAGTTCTTTGCTATTGCTGGGGTGTATAGCTAATGATATGAGACAGATCAGTGGTAGGTCTTGATAAAAAAGAAACTCCACCCTGAGTTTGTAGCCCATTTATTGTGCTGCTTAATTAATTCAATGAGGCCGCCCATCAGTGGTGGAAAAGAAAAGGAAAAACTGGCAGGATATATATCAATATAATATAATATCAATATAATATAATATAATATAATATAATATA